TATTTCCTTTTTTCATTTTTTAAAAACCAGTTAATGCTCCACTATCAGCTTGAGGGGGCATACCACTCACTGAATCATCAGCCAGCAGGGCAAGGACATGGTGGGAGGCCTGGTGGGACTGCTGGTGGCACAGCAACCCCATAAATGCCAGGACCAATGAACCCCTAGTGAAAGGCAGGTAGGAGGTGCCATAACCTCGAGCTAATGCACAAACGGACACAGTCCTGGCTGGGGAAAGCCCAGACCTGTCACGTCTTTGACAGGCCTGAGGCTTGCTGGTTGCAATGGAGTTGTGAGGCTCCAGGTGAGCTCAGCTTAGCTGCCTGGGATGCCAGCCGTTGGGTTGAAAAACACTTTATAAGGCTGAGGAACCACCTGCAGTTGGTGTGTCTGCTGGTCCTGGATGAAAGGTGTGGCAGAATGTCTCTCCCCAAAAACTCTGCTCAGTGACAGTTTGGTTAATATGGGCTTTTTAGGTAACCCTGAGTTGTAACCTGAGTTGGATACATTCCTGGGGGAGAAGAGAAACCTGCTCCTTCTGCCTACGTGACTGGCATCACATACCTGGGTGAGGGGCTTACACTCCCTATTGTTAAGCAATCCCAACCTGATTGGGAGGGGGCTAGAGACTCTGCCAGTCTGCCCAGCAACTAGTGATGTGTTTCAAATTGGTTGGCTGGCATCCAACAGATGCTGGCCTCAATTGGACCAGGTAAATGAGGTCATAAGGGCTATATAAGTTAAGGACTGCCCAGGAGGATGGACAGTAGCCATGAGGAAAACTCAGAGAGAGAGAAGAGCTGGACCATCTGAAACTTGCTCTGTCTCTCAAAACTCATGACCAATGAACTGCCTGCCTCCAGAGGGAATCTCCACCTGCCTCTGGATGATACTTGTAAGTAAGCTACCTGAGATCTAACTGGATATATAGCTTGCAGTAACTCAGATGCGTGATCAAAGGCTACCCCAGCCACCCTGTTTGCGCTATGGGATTTCTCTTATACTACTCAACTCTGTACCCTAATTCCAACCTTACTTCTTGTAATCAATAAAGTTCTCCTTTGTACCTAGCATGGGAGACTTATTGGGAGTGGGTCTAGATTATGCCTTGGGGTCCCCTTGGTTTGGCTGACTAAGGGAGACCACTACTTGTGCTTCCGACTGAGGGAAGCACTCCAAGTCAAGTAACCTTGAGGGCTACTAGGCCTGTGTTTCCCAGGGGGCACAGTGCCAGGATCAAGCCTGGCCCTGGGTGGTGGCAGCAATACCCCCAGGCTGGTGGGTGTGTTCCAGGAAGGGGGTCAGCCAGATGTAAGTCACCCCCAGGGAGGCACTTTGAGCCTGGAAGGTGGTTGGGCACAGTGAGGTGGGTGGCTCAGTGGCCCACCACAGAAGGAATAGTAAAGAAAGCCAGTCAGTGAAAATGGAGGCATTGGGGGTGAGGGACAGACTGGGGAAAGGGGGATGTAGTAGCACAGGTAAAAGTGCAGAGGTACATGAAGAGTCATAGAATCATAGAAGTAGGTTCAGAAGGGACCTTGTATATTTTCAAGT